AATGGGAAATATCAACAATGAAATTGTAAAAATAAATAATTACAAATTAATAAAAAACAATTATAAATATTAATACTTAAGTTACAGTGAGATCCCTTAAGATTTCTGTTTGATACAAATCCCTTCACATTAGAAAAATTACATTATTTTTTCTGAGATTTATAATCTCATTACAAATTACCCTATGAATTACTAATGTCATACCTTAAAAATTTCTAAATAACCATCTTATGCTTTTTTCCTACCATTTTTTCTTCATATAATCATGACTGCATTTTATAATTTTCCATTATTCATTTCTACTTGAACATATTGAGTGATGATATATAAATATAAATTTTATATATAATTTTCAAAGACAATGATATAACTTAATGGTGATATTTCACTTTAAACGAATAAAAATGCTAGATGTCCTAATAGTTCTACCAAATTTTCTATTAAATGTCTCACATGGGTGTGGAACTTACACCATGTGGGTCTCACACCCATGTGAAACATTTGATAAAAAAAAATGAGTGATTCTACTTATACTACTATTTTACCTCTTTACGTCCTTCATATGAGTTTTTTTTTTCTCCCTAATTTTATCCATGTGTGAAATTATCTTCAAGGACAAAACACTAAAATTAAATATATTTTGCTATCTCCTAACACTCTTGGTCTTCAATCCTTACTCTTTTTCATTTCTTAATTTTTCTTTTCTCTTACTGTGACGCCCCAAATTTTTTTAAATCTCAAGGGAAATTATTTAAACAAAATGACTTAATAAATCAAAAAGTTGACATCTTAATAGGGTAATCCAACGCTCGTACATAACCAAATGTCCAAATAACAATAGATAAAAACTTAAAATTATCCAAATACAACATCAAATGAAATTATAAAGTCCTTAATAGCTATTATATAAAATAATATAATTTATTCGGCTCTACTCGGGGTTTCAGGTCAGCCAAAGCTCTACGTTAGCGTCGACTCCATTTCAGCTTCAATTATTTTCTCGCCAAGACCTGGCATAAAACGCCAGGGCAACAAAATATATGCCATGAGTTTTGCAACACAGTAAGAAAACATAACCAACCTACCATTCTTTTTAAGAGAAAAATAATGAGATTATAAACACGAGATAATAATATAATTGTAAACATGAATTACAACCATTAAAATAATTTCAATAATTTTAATAAATTAGGTGACACTCGAAATCTCACCCATCTTCTTAAGAACTTTCAATGGTTTATCTACATCACAAGAACAAAAGAGTACTAACAGTGGACAATTTATCTACTCGATCTGGACATTAAAAGGAATCACTGAATCACTGCATTGTTAGTCCAATCCATAGGCAGGAAAAACATCTTCCAAACTTCCCACCTGTAGAAAGAAATAAAAACAATGACTATGCTAACCTTATAGCACATGAGTTACAAATTAACTCCACATTTTAGTTAAAATAAGGAGAGAGAAACAATTTATAAAATTAAATAATGATATTCACACAACACTTTTAGCCTCACACTCCACTTGCGATAAAATATCGTCAAGTCAAAACATGAGGGACATTAACAGGCAAGCATTTAAAACATTTACATCTTATTGAATAGTTAATTTAATCCATTGTTTAAGAAAAAATTATAAATTTCTCATTTAAAGAACAAAAATCAAAGAAACAAAAAAGTGAACATTGAAAGTCTTACATTTGAAGCACTTTGACTAATAGGTTTTCCTGAAGAAACAGAGCTGTTAATGCAGTACTCATCTGCTGGTGGTGGTAGAACATTCCCTGAACGCCTTTGCATATCATTTATAGCACCAGTGATTTGTTGAACTCTACTCCTTTAAAATCACTATGCGAGTTAATTAGCTATCCAAAAAAAATGTCAAAAAAAAAAGAAAAACAATGCATCCTTTCCTTCAGGTATACATAAGGACATCTAACCATTTCAATTGAGATAAACCACAACATAGAGAATTTAAAACCAATTGAGTGGAGACAAAAGGTTTGATCATAGATTTTGATACAATTTCAGCAATGTTCATAATATATTGCAGGAACATTAAACTGCTAGCTTTCACTTTCAAAACTTCAACATTTGGGCACTTCAAAGTTCAAACCCCACTAACATTTCCCAATGATTCAAGAAGTCTAAAACATGTTTTCCAAACAAAATAAATACATGAGGTTACAAGAATTTCCTAAGATTTCAAGTGATGGTTTAGTCAACTTTCCATTTTGAATTACATCCATCCAGCCATCTAGCCCAAAGACAACTGCATAAACCATGGTGGAGGGGGGAATACAAAGTGTTTTATTCCAATAGATGTAGTAAATAAAAAAGACAACTGGTGGAGGAAACAGATGTAGTAAATAAAAAAGAAAACTCATCAATATTAAATAATGAAAGTCATTACTATTCATTTATTCCAATATAGAATTAAATATCTTTTGTGTGTATATAGTCTCTTACTCAGACCAGTTGGTTGCATAAACAGGAACCAGAGCCTCATTTGTAAAACAGAACCTGGGGGCATATGCATTTGATGAAAAAAAAAAAAAAATTTACCAAGTTAGAGAAGAAATTGAAACTATGAATCATATTCACTTTTTAAGAATCCATACAACTCAAAAGTCTGAAACCTTCAAGCACTTACATCAACCATTCACAAAAGGAAAAATAAAACAAAAAAGAAAAAGAGAGAATGAAAACTTTGATCAGAAGCACTTCTATTAAAAATATATATATATACGAATAAAAGTCAACAATAAGTGTTTATTTGTGGACATTGGAACTAGTTAATAAAAAAGCCAACATAAAAAACAAAGATAAATGACAAATGTAAATACTAATATTATTCATAACCAAATTCAACTCTCACAAAGTTATCAATTCCCAAAATTTTGGGTGAGCTCCCACTACCGAAAATTCAGAAATATAAAAAAAGGGAAATGAAAAAATTGAATGTATATTTAGTGGAGACAGAAATTGGGTGCAAGTATAATATGTGAGGGGTTCAATGATTTTCCACTATTGATTTTTCGCTTAGGCATTTCATCGAACAACTGATGGGCATAGAAAAACAATACAAACAACACAAAGGTTATCAATGTTAACAATGGTGAAGGTGAGAGAGACAGAGAGAGTGTGAGAGAGAGTGATGCATTACCTTCAAATTCAATGATTGGCCTTCAATTTCAGCTTGCAACGTTGGCTCGGAGCACAGAAGGAGAGTGGAGAGAAAGGCTACCGGCGTAGGGTTAGGGCATCGAAGGAGAGTTGTGAATTGACGGAGGGAGAGAGAGTAAAGGGAGGCAGGAAATGCGCGAGAGATTGAGACAAAGTTACAGATGAGAGCAGAGGAGAGAGAGACCTAGAAATAGTGAACAGAGTGAGAAGGGGAAGAATAGGGGAAAATGATGTCGCTTTGTGATCTCATCTTCGTCTTCATCTTCGTCTTCTTGAGTGATCTCACCTTCATCTTCATCGTTGTAGCTTGGATCGTACTCTTCTTCCAAGTCCATTCTAGACAAAAAATTTACAGTTGGGACCAAGGAGAGTGAAAATCGGAGATGGGTTTTGGAGGGTTAGCTTCGTTGGGGAGAATGAAATGTGTTGAAGATTTGGGCGCTTTATTTCCCCCCAATTATTTTAATTTTTTGGCGACTAACATTATGATTCGTCGCTGAAAATAACTTTTGGCGACAAAAATTTTAGTCGCCAAAAGGTAAAAATTAATTTTTTATTTTACATTTGCCGACCAAAGATTTTAGTAGCCAAATGTACACCTACGGCGACAAACATTATTTTTCGTTGCTGAAAATCAACTTTTAAAAATTTATATATTTCTTAGATTCGGCTCAATAAAATGAATTGAAAAAAAAAATTAAAATAAAATTACGAAAGGACAAAATTTTTTGAAAAAATAGGTGATTTTTTTAGATGTTGCCCAATGGTTCATGTGATACAAAAATAAAATTTAAAATATTAATAAAGCCAACTGGCTTTTACCACTTAATTCAATAAATCTGATTGTTTTATTCATATACCTACTACTAATGGGAATTCATTTTTATTTAATTAATAAGCATGTTTCATTTTCATTTTCATTTTTATTTTTAAAAAATAAGCTTCTTTCAATTTTATTTTTCTCATTTAAAAAAAAAAGAAAGTCAAATTTCAAGTGGAGACATAAAATGTCATTGTTGTTAATCTATGAGGGCAGAGTCGTGAGAGAGTGAGAAAGAGAGAGAGAAAATAAAGAAGTAATAAAGTTTCCCTCTGAAGTTTCCCTCAGATATGAAGCACAATTTTTAAATTTTGTAATTATAATCGCCGACTAATATTTAGTCGGTAAAAGTAAAATAACAACAGTCTAAAAAATTAAAATAAAAGTAACAAATATATTAAAATTATATTTAAATAAAAATATAAGTAATAAAATTATAAATTAAAAAAAAGGCAAAAATTAAATTATCTTAAATATTTGTCCTAATATTTTATGTACTGAAAAATATAATAATATACTTTAAAATTTTATATCCTTATATTTTATTATATTCTTATATATATAATAAGAAAGAAAATTTAAAAAAAAAGAAAGAATTTTTTTTTAAAAAAAAAATTATGAGCCAACTCAACCCGTGTTTTTTTTTTTTTTTTTAAAGTATAATAATTATATTAAAATATAAGTTTTTTAAATGGGACTAATATTTTGAGAGAGATGAAATAAAAATAAAGGGTGTGTTTGGTTTGGTTCTGGGAGATAAATTTTTAAAAAAAATCTGGAAGAAAGAGTTTAAAATTTTTTTTGGTTTGTTTAGTTATATATTTTGGAAATAGTTTTGGAGTATGGAAGTTTGAGAATATTTGATATTTTGTTATAGTTGAGTAAATGTGTGTAAGAAAAAAGTGATTGAGAAAGAGAGATGAGAGAAAAAAAAATAATTAATTGATGTGTAGATGAGAGAAAATGAATTTAAATTTTCTTTTTTTTTTAAATTTTCAATCAAATAAAATTTTGAATTTTTTTTCAAAAACTATATTTTGAGTTAAACCAAACAAGACCGAAATATATTTCCTTAGCGCAGGTCAATGGTTTAGTTCCAAGGGTTTCTGCTTGTCCCTGTCCTCCAGCTACAAAGTCCCAGGTTTTGGTACTCTCTCCCTCTCTCCCTCTCTCCCTCTCTCATATTCTACTCTTTACTTACCAAATTGTTAGAATTTTCCTTCTTTTAGATGCTTGTTTATGGGTGATTTTCTCTTTCTGTATTGAATCTGTAATTTCTTTACTCCCCCATTCTTATGGATTCCCAAGAAAATCAAGAACCCCATCACTCACCACAACCCACTCAAACTCGCCCCTTGTTCTTCAAATTCAGTTGCTTCTATTTATTGTCAATACTAGTTCTACTTCTAGCAATCTTATTCAGTTTCACCTACACAGACTACTACAAAATTCAATTTCTGAATGCAACTCTCTCACCAGAGTCTTCCCATTTTCATAAGCTTCTAGGGTTTCTTCACTCAAACCCAACAACCAAACAAAACCCACAACCAAACCCTATTTCCAAACCCCCTTATTGTGTGCTATGGATGGCCCCTTTTCTTTCAGGTGGTGGGTATAGCTCAGAAGCTTGGTCTTATATCTTAGCTTTACATGAAAACAAGAAAAACCCTAGCTTTAGAATGAGTATTCATCAACATGGTGATCTTGAAATTCTTGAGTTTTGGGAGGGTTTGCCTCAGGAGATGAAAAAATTGGCTCTTGAGCTTTACCAAACAGAATGTGAAATGGATGATAATACCATTGTGATATGTCATAGTGAGCCTGGTGCTTGGTACCCTCCTCTGTTTCAGACACTCCCATGCCCACCAACTGGTTATGAAAATTACAGATTCATAATTGGTAGGACTATGTTTGAGACTGATAGGTTGAATCCTGAGCACGTAAGGCGGTGTAATCAAATGGATTCTGTATGGGTTCCTACTGAATTCCATGTGTCTACATTCATACAAAGTGGGGTTGATTCGTCGAAGGTTGTGAAAATTGTTCAACCTGTTGATGCGAATTTCTTTGATCCTGTCAAGTATAAGCCATTAGACCTTGCCTCTATAGGGACTATAGTTTTGGGCTCAACTCCATTGAATTCAAATCCCGATAACAAGTTTGTTTTCTTGAGCATTTTCAAGTGGGAATATAGGAAGGGTTGGGATGTGTTGTTGCAGGCATACTTAAAAGAATTCTCTAATGTCGATGGGGTTGCTTTGTATTTGTTAACGAATCCATATCACTCCGGTAGAGATTTTGGCAACAAGATTGTGGAGTTTGTTGAGGGTTCTGATTTAGTAAAACCGGTTGATGGGTGGGCTCCGATTTACGTGATTGATGCCCACATACCTCACGTTGATCTACCAAGACTATACAACGCAGCTGATGCATTTGTTCTTCCATCAAGAGGGGAAGGATGGGGCCGGCCTATTGTGGAGGCCATGGCAATGTCGTTGCCAGTGATCACAACGAATTGGTCTGGTCCCACTGAGTACATAACGGAGGAAAATAGCTATCCCTTGTCAGTGGATGTTCTGAGTGAAGTATCTGAAGGACCATTCAGAGGGCATAAATGGGCTGAGCCTTCTGTTGATAAGCTTCAAGTTCTGATAAGGCATGTGATGAGTGATCGTGAAGAAGCTAAGGCTAGAGGAAGGAGAGCAAGGGAAGACATGATTAGTAGATTCTCTCCTGAGATTGTTGCAGGGATTGTTACTGATCGTATACATCATGTACTTAACAAAACGGCTTGAGATATTGACTTGAATTATGTCCATTACTGGGATTTTATGGCCAATATCACTTGTGTTGCTCGAACTTGATTTGTTCAGCGATTGAACTTCAATCTTGTTAATAGCTTTCTTGCAACTCCATGGAAGATTGTAAGGGAAAGATGCTAATGGGATTTTGGAAATGCATGGATGTTTTGTTCATATGTATTTTAAATTGTAGAACAACTAATGTTTTGAAGAAGCAATGCAAGTTGAAATTTGTGGGATATTTTGCAGAAATTAAGATTGATTTTTTAAATATTTGAGTCAAGATCAAAATGATCAATATCTTTTTGTGGAAAGAACGCATCATGATTTGCATTAGGTTGTGATCTTGAAGAAGACTGAATTTCATCCTCTCAAGGGACTGATGATGGTTTCCAAAGCTGCTTTTGAATATCATACTCGAAAAACATGGTAAATTGGATCACAATATGCGGTATGTAAAGATCAATTTTATTGGTAAGTAGATTTTTTTTTTTATTATAGTTTTCAAATTTCAATGTAGAGTAGGATAACATTCTGCAGTAAAATTTGATTACAATGGTAAATAACATTCAATTTCAGTAATCAGTAGCACTGCAAAAATCACCTCTTGTTTTGAGAAAAGCATCAGTTTTTTTATCTAATTTTACACATTATCAATCAATGGCTGAATTTTCATTTATCTGAATCTAATGGAAGGTCGATTTGGTTATAGTACCTAAAATCCACCGCTTACGTTGCTTGGAAAAATCGTCTCTATCACACACAAAAGCAAGGAACAAATGCCCTGCTTGAGTCATAAAAATGATTAAAACATTCATTTCAGCAGAATTGAGACTCCCCAATAAGCTACAATATCTTGATTTCATGCCATCTCATTGAAAAAAAAATAAAATAAAAAAAAATAAAAATAATCTTTTTGTCGGAACCACATCAAAACTACCATTACTGCGGAAACATCTTTAAAAAAAAAGACAGAAAAAAGACAAAGAAAAAAAATTGCTTAATTGGTTGGGGTGAAGACTTTGAGTACACCAATCGCCCAACTGTATACCCATGCCATGCCTTTTTTCAAGTTATCTCAATCGTAACAAATCATTTTATTGAAGATGCGGGGAAAAAGTTGTCAAAACTTCTCTGTAAACAGGCTTCTTGAAGTCCACTGCCTGCACAGAAAAATGCAGAAAATATGTAAAATAATGAAATGGCAAGACAACCAGTTTCAAACCATTATAGCAAAATGAGGTTAAGGAATTGCACCCACATGGTCAACTACTTGTTCCGGTGACATCCACGACCACGCTCCAAACTCCGCCTTCTCAGTCCCATCACCCAAAAGGTTGATTTCGTCATCCTTTCCAGTGAATTTAAATAGGAACCTGCATTTATGCACTGATTTTTAATGAAATATAGTGATTACAGATGGCATGATGAATTAGAACATCCAAAGCTTGAATCATATGTGCACTTGTGAGTTAAAGACACAATGTATACGGGAATGTAAAAGAGTAGCCTAACATAATAGGTGCATTCTTGCTCTAGACCGTTATGTAGATGATCAGAGATTGAGACTTATCCCATTCTAGCAATCCAATCAGGCATTCATTACAATTGTCTTTAGAAGAAATGCAAGCAAGTTCATGAATCAAGTAACTACCCAAACGAGTTGAAAGTTACTAAAAGAGTCTAAATGAAATCTGTCAGGGTTCAATCCAACTTCAGCAGAAATAAGAGCCCTGGGTCGTAATTTCATTAGTTTAGTTTCTAGATAGACAATGTAAAAATCACCCCGGCCGTAAGCTGGAATAAAGTAGTTTTGACGAATTGACCGGAGGAATAAAATGGAAAAACTAATTTAGTTGATATAGCCTTGTTCACCTAGGGCCTTGACACAAACCACGCAAGAAGTAGACCCATGCATCATTGAAGGGCAAGTCACAAGTTGAATACTTGGGAGCATTAGTCACCCATGGACTGTTCTAAATGTATGAAGTAACCATGTCAAGCACTTAAAAAGTGGCTGAGGGTAAGGGATGTGTCCGCTATATTTAGTTGGAAATTCATCAAACAAGTATATTTAGTAATTTGAGCTCACCATAAAATTATAAATAAAGCTCCTATATTATGCACGAAATTCTCTAGTGCACCTCGCGAACACCACCATTTTATCCTAGAAAATAAAAAAGTATATTAAAATATTTGAATACTTTGCTGTGTCCCCATGGCCTTGGATGTGCGAATTAGATAAATCAGACACTTAGAGACATACCTGCTGAGCCGCATCACCCATCATGCATACTTGAGTCCATATAACATAGGTCAATGTTAATTATGAATTAATTTGATCTGCACTTGATTATCCTAAATTTTGTTCATTTCCCCTGCCAAAAGAAACCTACAATGCAGCTTTACACCTATTTCAAATGTATAAAGATGCTCACCACTTTTGTGCTTGACCCTTCCAGTCTGAGCCCCATTGTCGGTTAAGTTTTTCCCGGCCTTTTGGTGGGAAATCATATGTCAACCAATATGGTACCTGCATCAAGGATCAAAATTTTGTTTCGGTATATTGTTTTAATTAGCTTGGAAAAGAAACATTTTCAAATCATAAGAGAAATGACAAAAGAATTCGAAATATGAAAATGTCTACAAATGCAAGAAGAGTCAAATCTCAAGTCCAAAAGACTAACAAACCAACGCCAAAAAAGTTATAATGCTTAAGGAGTCAAATCTCAAGTCCAAACCTCTGCAAGAACTTCAGCTGAAGTAATTCCTGTTTCTTCTCTTAATTCCCTGATAGCTGCATCTCTTGGATCTTCATTTTCATCAATACCACCCTGTTCACCACACAATATTTTTCCATCTCATTTGCATGGAAACCAAACTTTCCAAGTAAGGAATACTTGTATAAGATTATAAGAAATCAGAACACAATTGCACTCTATTAGATGCATTGAAGTTTTAACAATTTATGCAAGTTTTGACATCACAACTACAACTCTGGACTACACACTAATTGTCCATTAAACATATCATAATGCTTTTCACTTTCAAGCTTTAAAATATTGACACACACATACCGAGAGAGAGAGAGACTAGCGTCCATAAATGATCACAACTTTGGGAATTCAAGAATGTTAGCTATGGTGCACTCTAATCTATCACAATCTGCCACTAAAGTATGGAGGGAGGGGGTAACGATAACAATCTAAACTGTTCAAAAACAACCAACCAAGAAAGTTCCAAAACCCACGATAATTATGAAAGAAATGAACGGAGAAGAAAAATAAAATAAAAACAATCTAGTCAATCTAAATTGTTATAAAAATGGCCCACTAGCATTACTAAGTTCCAAAACCCAAAAGAGTTGTTGCAACTGTTTCCAATTCTGATACCAACATAAAATACACTCACCTAGGAGTTCAGATAAAAAAATTAAAAAATAAAAACTGATTATTTAGTAGATTAGCACATGAATATGGAATGCAAAAATCAAACCACAGACCTATTGCAAAATCTAGTGCAACCTAATTTTTAGAACTCCCGAATTCTATGTTTAATGCTATAAGCAATACATATATCTATACTATTATAAAAAGTGTACAACCAATTTGGTATGAACACCTTATGCATACCCAGCTCTCTCTCCACTTTATCACATGGGCTTGTCCCCTCTCTCTCCTCCTATCACGTTTGATTTCAAAATCAATTATTTTTATTTGTTTTCTCCAAACTACTTTTACACTCTTTTAAATACCCACATTTATTTTTCTTTCCCATCATTTCTTTTAAACTTTTCTTTCCACCACTCTCTTTTTCTTTTAAAAAAGTCAAAAAACTAATCTGAAATGAGACTTTTAACATCGGACTAAAATAGTTAAAAAGTCAGAAAGTCAACTCGCTTTTCAAACGAGCTGTTGGGTCCGTAAGGGCCCACCACGGGTCTCATTTCGATAATTCAAACCGTTCAATATGTAAAACTCGTCAAGTACTACATGCTTGTAAAAAATCACATTAATCGGATATCGATAACTATCTCATTGGATCAGATTTTTGTTAACCGTTTAATTTTTCACCATCTATTTTTTTTTTAATACAAAACTGATTTGATTACGTAACCATCGATATCCGATCAACGTGATTTTTTGTTACAAATATATAACACTTGACTAGTTCTACATATTGAACGATTCAGATTATTGAAATGAGACTCATAATGAGCCTCCATGGGCCTAATAGTACCCTCCAGTCGCGTACTGAAGGGAAGCCAGCCCCATAAAAAAATATTTGAGACAGGTAAGCATTTTTTTATAATTGTTAGTATATTCTACTGTTAGTATATATTAGTGCCTGTGCTTGTAATGATGTTAGCTTTAGCTTTAATGCCTTAATAATGTTAGGTAATGATAATGCTGCTTTCGGTTGCTTTAAGATAGTGCAGATAGTGCAATGCATCCTTTTGTCTGTAAACTTCTC